GTTCTCTGTTTTCCTGCCTGGTTTTGGGAACAATGAGTAATCCTGTTCTATGCAGCGTTTCATTTCCTCTGTTCCCCTCATTAACTTATTTCTGGACACAAATAATTCCCCGGTAATCCGCTACAAGAGCCTAATGCAGTACAGAGGATTACAGGGGTCATACAGGGGTCGTACAGGGGTCAGGTTGTTTTACATGCCCCCCCAAATACATGCGCTGTGACCTGACCCACTGACACAGCCGGGGTAACACGTGGGACATTTCTGTGTCAGATTAACGCCGTTTCCTTTCTTCTCATCCCTGTATATAAACAAATCGCAGATGCTTCCATGAAAGTTTTATCCGGATATAGAGAACGAGCTCGTCATTCTTTTATGTGATTCTGTATGAGCAGATTTTGCTGATTCGGCTATAATGTGGTTGGACCTCAATATAGATAAACATACGTGTACCTGACGCAGAACAGCAGATTTTGCTGCGGAAAGTGCAGCGCTTATAGATAGATAGATAGATAGATAGATAGATAGATAGATAGATAGATAGATAGATAGATAGATAGATAGGATTCATAAGCGGAATCTCTGAATGCTCTAACTAGAACGTGTGAAAAAGTTACTGTAGTGTAAAGTCTGTTACACTCCTGTCTGGGTAGTCTGGGTATGGCAGCGGGTGATACAGAATTTACATCAGATGCTGTGATTGGCGCATATTTCCGCTATAGAACCGTGGTGGCGGCTGCCCTGTGTGTAAAGGGTTAACTGCTTAGTTATTCTGCCCCAGTGATGATCACTCTCATTCTGCTGCCTTTTACATTGTCCAAGGTGCTGCCCAGGGTGAGGCTGGGTGAGCGTAATCATCACAAACCCTTTCAACTGGTTGATTTCAGGTCTCTCCATTGAAGGGTACTATTAATGCCGCTGTATACAAAGACATTTTAGACAATTGGGGGTTAATCACTTAGCTGCCGAAGGCAGTGAATAACTGAGCGGAAGTGAACAGAGCTGAACGATCACGGCTGGCTGCGCCCAGCTGTCATTTGCATGGAGATCAGTCGGCTTCGGCCGACCGTTCTCCACGCTTCGGCTGTCACTTCGGCTCAGTAGAGCCGAAGCATATGCGTTCGGCTCGGCTGAGCCACGTACAGCAGGTCTTTGGTTCGACTGAACCGAAGGGCTTCGATGGCTGAAGAGAACCGAAGGATCAGCTGAAGCTGCGGCTGGATCTTTCGGCTCTTTAGTAAATAACCCCCAATTGTGTCCTTCCCAATTCCCACAGACGCACCCCAAAATCTTGCGGGAAAGAAGAGCGAAGGCTGTAATAGCTGCAAAGGGGGTGGAGGAAACTCAACATGTCCATTGTTTTGGAGTGGGATGTCCAACAAGCTCATATAGGGGTGAGGGTCCGGTGCCTACAAACCTTTAGCCATATTGTGTAGACTCTACAAACCTTTAGCCATATTGTGTAGACTCTGCAAACCTTTAGCCATATTGTGTAGACTCTGCAAACCTTTAGCCATATTGAGTAGACTCTACAAACCTTTAGCCATATTGTGTAGACTCTACAAACCTTTAGCCATATTGAGTAGACTCTACAAACCTTTAGCCATATTGTGTAGACTCTACAAACCTTTAGCCATATTGAGTAGACTCTACAAAACTTTAGCCATATTGTGTAGATTCTACAATTCTTTGGCCATATTGTGTAGACTCTACACACCTTTAGCCATATTGTGTAGACTCTACACAATATGGCCAAAGGTTTGTAGGCACCGGACCCTCACCCCTATATGAGCTTGTTGGACATCCCACTCCAAAACAATGGACATGTTGAGTTTCCTCCAAAGTAGATGAAGACAAAAAGTAGACTTTGGCATAACTCCCTCCATGGTTCAGCTGGGGTCAGACAGCAGACACTTGTTTGTTGCCTTCAAGTCTAACTGGGAGTCAGGGAGAAATGATGGGAGCTTTCTGTTTTAACTAGAAGCTGCAAGTTCCAAATTGAACCCCAAAAAAACAAAGAACTGTGATAAAACCTAGAAGTCCTCCCCACTACCTGGATATGCCCATTCCTGAGATCTCTGAAGGCATCAGAAATTACGTTACAGCACTTGCTCCCTGCAGGCTCCACCCACTACAGACAGCCTGCAGAAAACTACAGGAGAAGGCAGAGACAAGACCAGTCACCCTGCACAAGGAGAGAGAACAGCAGTGAGTGGTCTTTATTACAGGAAGGGGCGGAAACAAGACCAGTCACCCTGCACAAGGACAGGGAACAGCAGTGAGCGGCCTTTATTACAGGAAGGGGTGGAGACAAGACCAGTCACCCTGCCAAAGGAGAGAAAACAGCAGTGACCGGTCCTTATTACAGGAAGGGGTGGAAACAAGACCAGTCACCCTGCACAAGGAGAGAGAACAGCAGTGAGTGGTCTTTATTACAGGAAGGGGCGGAGACATGGCCAGTTACCCTGCACAAGGAGAGAGAGCAGCAATGATCGGTCTTTATTACAGGAGGGGGCGGAGACCAGACCAGACCAGTCACCCTGCACAAGGAAAGAGAGCAGCGGTGACCGGTCTTTATTACAGGAAGCTCCAAGTCTCACACTGGATTACTGCACAGATCCGGAAGAAATACACAAAGCTCACCAAGATTCCAGGAGGAAGTCACATGACAGTATTTGCTCATCCCGGAGTTCAGCTTTAAAGCAGACCTAGAATCAGATATATTTTTTTCATGCTGAGTAATGTAAGTGTAACAGTTCCAGGTTATTATTACCTCCCACAGAGATCACAGGTCTCCCCCTGACAATGCCATCATCTGCTTTTCTCCCCAGAAGGACAGCTCCATCTTTGTTCAGACATCACCAAAGGTCACCATCTACTTCCTGGACTGAGATGTCGGCTCAGAGATGACACAGCCACGTAAATCCCGATGCCTGTGCAGTTCTTGGCTTTACTCACAAACGTCTGACACGGATCAACCCCTGCTGCAGACTTCCACCTTGCTACAAAGTTCCAACAGTGCTTCTTCCTGCCGGCAGCAGACTGATGACATCATCATAGCCAAGGCAAGGTCACTGACTGGAGCTAAAGGAAGGCTTTTTATGTGGCAGTCTGATCACTTCAAACAGAGATGCTATTTATGCTTCCTGGTATTCAGGTGACCAGTAGGCGGAGCTTTTACAACTCTATAAATCACATGCAATGGTTAAAAACTTTAGCTGCAAGCCAGTGAGTGTTGAGGGCTGGTCGCAGCTGCCTTGCCCAATGCAGTCCCAACACAAAGGGGTCCAATTTTAAGATTTCCTCTAGATGGCGCTGATGAGTAGAAATTCCTATACTCGCCAGCGCCACCTAGGGGCACTAATGCTGTGCAAACGGTAGCCACCTGCCGTACAGTACAGCATGTTCTTTATAAGAGTTCCTCTAGATGGCGCTGACGATCATAAGATTCCTATACTCACCAGCACCACCTAGGGGCACTAGTGCTGACGACCGAGTGCCCGACTTTTCAGAGGGGGTGACACCAAAATAACTGTCAGTCATTTTGGTGTCAGTCAATGGTGTCACCCGGGTGCAAGCCGCAACCCCCCCCCCTTGTGACGCCACTGCTCCCAGAGGCAAAGGCATTTGTAGTTTCACCACAGCTGGAGTGCTAGGGTTAGTATATTGGGCCTATCGTGTCCCTGAAAATTTTTGGAACATGATTGGTCTTATTGTGTCCGTTCCTCACCTCATTCCTTTCCTGTTGTCGTTCACTTACCTTTCAGACATGGCCTACCCCTGTGCTAAGTGATAACGCGGGTGTTATGTGTCCTGGCCATCGTTATATTGTGACGTTATTGGTATTTTCATCCCCCAATGCTACAACTATCTTTACGGCAAATAACAGTCCTTATAGCTTAGTGCAACCTCGACACAACTGTTGTGGCACTACAAGTCCCATGAGGCATTGCAGACATAACTCCCGGAGGCAACAGCATTATGGGTTTTGTAGTTTCACCGCAGCCGGAGGGCCGAGGTTAGTGAATTGGGCCTATGGTGTCCCTGAAGACGTTCGGTCTTATTGCATCCATTCCTCATTCCTTTTCTGTTGTCATTCACTTACCTTTCAGACATGGCAGATGATTGACAGGTCCCTGTAAGCCACAGAAAGGGTTAATGGAGGGCGCTGGGTACCCGGCATAATCCGAAGCAGAAAGTACAGAGCCAGAGAGAGTCCCAAATCACAACACCGTCACCAGGCAACGTGTGAGAGGACAGGACAAGGTGTGTGTCTGCCATTGTCCCGCTTCCTACACACAGGCCGGG